TGTTAGAGGCAAAAGCCAATCAAGTTGCATATGCAAATGACCTCTGTATTCCGAGGCAAAGGCCAATGAGGCTGCATATGCAAATAACCTCTGTGTTCTGACTGGCTATGGGGGGGGAGAGGAACAGCAAAATGTTTAGAATGTTAGAGGCAGGACTCAGGCAAAGCAGCCAGTGGATAGGGAGACCCTCTGAAATGACAGATCAGAGAGCGAACTGATTTTGGAGCGTGTGGAATGTTCTAGAGAAGTGCCACCACCATTCGGCTTTTATTTATAAGGGAGATAAGTTCAATTTATATACCGCCCTTCCCTGAGTTCACCAGGCTCAGGGCAGTTGCCAGCAACAAAAAATACAATATAAAACCAACATTGGAACAGTTGTTAAAACAGTCGTTAAAATATGGCACCAAACTAAATACAGAATGCATTACTGTCCTGCAAGCGGGAGGAAGCAAAGTGGGGAGATGGTACCCATTGCTGTTCTCAAGCAAAAACCTGGAGGAATATCTCTGCCTTACGTGCCCTGCAGAACTGAATAAGGTCAACAGTTAGAATTGAATTCATTCTACTTTAATTTTTCTTGAACAATTAAGGGGGTCCCCCACACACTCAGTGGATATCACCTCCTGTTTATTTTGGAACTTCTGGCCTCTAGCTTTAATAACTACATTTCTTTCAGTCCCACTGAAAGGGACTCATATCTCATTTATGAGAGGATTCACAAACAGGTCACAGCTTAGAACCTCCCCCCCCTTTCTTTCTTTGTTATTCTAACTAGAAATGTTTCTGCCAAGTAAATGCTCACTTAGGGTTGCCAGCAGTGAGGTGGAGCCTGGAGATCTCCCGCTTTTACAACTAATCTCCAGCTGGCAGAAATCAACTCCCCTGGAGAAAATGGCTGCTTTCTCCCCTGGAGAAAATGGTGGACTCCGTGGCACTGTACCATGCTGGGGCCCCTCCTCTCCCCAAACCCCGCCCTCTCCTGGATCCACCCCCCAAAGTCTCCAGGTATTTTCCAACCCAGACCTGGCAACCCTTTGCTCACTCCAGGCATCTGATGAAGTAAACTCAATGCCTGAAAACGTATGCCAAAGTAAAATGTTGTTATTCTTTAAGATGCCACAGAACTCTTCGTTTTGACTCATCAAAATAACATGGTATTATTTTGGAATTACTTCTACAATGTTTGGTGGTAAACTACAATGCACTGAGGGTCTCTGCCAAGAGTATAATCTCACAACAATACTTTGCACAACGCTGAGCTTCAATGAGCTGATTTGTGGGTCAGGTTAGGTGAACTGTTGGGCACATTACAGCATCCAGGCCATGCTTATGAAAACCCTGCGGTAGATGGAGAGAAGGAAATGTGGCTGAAGTAGCACAGACCTATCCCCAAGATTATTGTCTGTCTATCTGTTTTTCACACTAATATCCTCCCAACAACCTCAGCGTGGGACAGGTAGAATTCTCCCTCTTATCAATGACTATCAACAGTTGAGTTGGTCTTGTACCCCAGACTCTGTGCCACATGTAAGCTGGTGTTGTTTTTTTGGACGCCTAGATTAGGCTCAAGTCCTCAGGGATTTATCGCAAGAATGTCTGCATCTTCAAGGCCTCTCTTGACTGAGACATGTAAGAAATTGGCTTGTACCTATCTCCCAGAGTAGGGAAACTGTTACAAATCTTCAGTACATCAGCCCAACTCATATGAGCATCAGCAGGCCCACTTACATTTAATGTTAATCCACAGCTGTGACTTTTATGAAGAAAGAAAGATGAGATACAAGGACAATGATAATAATAAAGCCCGATCTCGTCAGATCTTGGAAGCTAAGCCTACCGTGGCAAGTACTTGGATGGGAGATAAATACAAAACTGTTGTAGTGCACCCTATCTTATTTCCATTATTTGAAAGGTAAAGATAAAGGTAAAGGCTCCCTTGCTCGAAAGCCAGTCGAATCCGACTCTAGGGTTGCGGTGCTCATCTCCGTTTCAAAGCCGAAGAGCCAGCGCTGTCCGAAGACGTTTCCGTGGTCATGTGGCCAGCATGACTAAACACCAAGGCGCACGGAACGCTGTTACCTTCCCACCAAAGTGGCACCTATGTATCGACTTGCAATTTCTTGCTTTCAAACTGCTAGGTTGGCAGGAGCTGGAAATAGAGACGGGAGCTCGCTCCATCATGTGGCAGACTCAGGTCTCGAACTGCTGAACTACCGACCTTCCACAGCCTGCAGTTCAGCGACTTAACCACTTGAGCCACCGCAGCTCCATTTCCATTATTTACTTCTTCCCAAAAGACCAAGGGTGCAACCTGACGTCAGAACCCTTTTAAAATCTACACACCTGCTCAGCATTTTACAAAGGATGCTGACAAGATAAGGTCCTAAAATCATGACCTGATATATCTCCTCCCTTTTAATTTTTGTTTTTAACATCCAGGTTGATGAAGAATTCTGGAGGACTCAAACACTTCCACATTGTTTTGTGTTGATTTGCTTGATCCTAATAAAAGGTAACATGTAATATATGGGTTTTCCTTTTGGTTATTTCTCTCATGACTTCCCTTTATTATTTTGTGATGAAAAACTAGGCGTGATCTGAAATATCCAAGCCCAAAGGCAAATCCATTTGTCTTGCTGGATGCTTTGGTTTGTTTCACTCCAGGATTTCCCACTTGCTAAATGAAAAAGAAAAGTCAAAGAATTGACCCCTTTGGTGCTCATACATTGTTTGGAAGAAAGGTGAATGAATGCCTATAGGCAAAAATTTAAGAAATCTAATCTTTTCTTTTAGGTCTGTGAAAGAAGCATCCTGGAGACTTTTTCACCCACCAGTTTAGCTGGAGTTGAGAACAAGAAACTAAATCCAAGATGTATTCAAACAAATAGAGATGTATTCTGGGTAAATAGCAGCATACTACAATTTGACTGAATAACTAAAAATAAGGAGCAATTCAAGGAATTCTTCCTGAATCCAAGGTTTTGCGTGGCACAACAGTTTCACACAAACACAAATTCTGTTTTAACAGAATGCTTGTTAACTAGTCCCCAGTTTAAAATCAGTTTTTGAACCGTAGTTTATAAGATTACATTTAACGAGTCTTTAATGTCTCTAAACTGCTGCTAACAGGTCTTAGACAGGTCTTCCTGCCTAGCATTTTAGAGAGGGCAGCACTTTCGGTCTTTCAGCAGATTTTGGCAGATTTGCCTGTCTTTTTAGTGCATTACTTCTTAAGTTCAAAGCCAGTAGAGAGAGCAAAAGTGGGATGCTCTAGAGGGCAAGGAAGGGTAAGGCAGCAACAGACAAGAGCAGTTCTCAGTGAGCCATGACAGCAAATAGTCACATCTGTGTTTCGTATTTATGCACAAATGGTGAACAGGACTTTCAGAGAGGCATGGGGCCAAGAATATTGCTGAAGGAGGCAAAGTTGGCTGGTTCGGTTTGTGGAAATGGGTGTGTGTAGTGAAGGGACCTTTTCGCCTGCCAGTTTCAATGCCAGCAGTGCTGAAATAAGTTCTGTGTCTGTGAGCCCTGGCCTTGGTACCGGTGGGGAATGATGGCCTCCTCTGAAGAAGACTGGGTGTGCTTGTCTTACTTTAGTGAGTACAGGAAAGACCAACTCCATTCATGTGAACTTCTCAGGATCTGTGGGTGATGTTCTGTTTCATGAGCCCCTGCTGTCTGAGGTGAGGTTACTATGCATGTGAGTCAAGGCCTTCTTGGCTGTTACCCCCAACCTACAGAACTCCCTGCCACCCTGTGGCAATTCTGTTAGGATCTTCTTGTTCCAGAGAGCCTTAGCAAGGGGTGAGTGTAAATGTTCTTTTATACTGATGTTTTTACTGATCCAAATTGGGTGTTGAGGTGGGCTTTTCATTGAACTTTCTCTACTTTCATTGTTGTGTTGATTTTTAAATATCTTTATCTGCTCAACAAAGCAGAAAGGTGGGGTATAAATATCCCAAAAAATACACCTGTGGCAAAGATAAGATTCCAACCCCCAAGAGTATATTAAGAGTTGAGCTGGTCTATGCTCCATGCTCTGCACTAGGGTTGCCAACTCCGGATTAGGAAATTGCTTGAGGTCTGGGGGGGGCTTGGGGAGGGCCCTCAGCAGTATGTAATGCCATGGAACTGACCCTCCGAAGCCATTTCCCCCCGAGACAATTGATCTCAGTAGCCTGGGGATCAGTTGTAATTCTGGGAGATCTCCAGGCCCCACCTGGAGTCTGGCAACCCTACTAGTCTGCACAGTACAATTTCCTGTGTGGTTTGGGCTCCTAGATCAGGCTCAGAGGTGGGCCCTCAACCGGATTCACTGCAAGGCATGATTCTGTGTCCTCAGAGCTTCTCTTGAATGGGAAAGTAGGGAATTCACTGCAAATCTTCAAAGCATTCACCCAAAGTCCAGTTGTTTAGTAGGTCCGGTTGTTTAGTAGGGCACACATTAATAGTCGTACTCACTGAGGGGAGGCAAGAAGAGGGATGTGGGTGGCCACACTGTGCCCATCGTGGCCAGCAATCTCTGTGAGAAAGTAGAGCTCCTTTCACTCTGCTTTCATGCTAGTATTTTGGTGATTTCCTTCTGCCTTTAACGTCCACGCAAATTACAGGCCTTGCAAGTCAAGCCCTTGTGGCTGGGAGTGACGTTTGCACAGCAGAACACTAATCAGTGACTCCCACCGGAGCCTGCCTTTAATTCCCCATGACATGCCAATACGCTGGAGAGTCTCAAACCCTTCTTTATCTGAGTGTCTCTTCTCCCTCCTCCTTTCTTTTTGCAGCTCCCCAATCTCCTCAGTCTCTGTGAGCAGCTTGACCCAGCCTGTGTGTGGAATTCCCAGCCTGTAAAAGCTCATTTTCTGAGACAGAAGAAGCCCTGTCACAGCTCAGAGCCTTCCCGTCTTGCAAGTTGTATGCATTTCTAAGGGCAGCAGTGAGAGAGAATGAAACTCTTCTTCCCCTTCAGCAAGTCTTTTTACCTGGTTGTTGTTGTGATGGTTCTGCAAGGCTCAGGAAACCTGAATCCAGACACTCCTGAGTGCAGTCCAAGAGAAGGCGATCCTGCATGTCTGGGGTCTCTAGTGGCCATACCTCCTCCATCATCCGAAGGTGGTTGTGATGGACTGGGGAGCTGCAGACTCCATGTGCTCATGCCCGAAGAGCTGGCAACGCCAGAGGAAGTGCAAGATGTTCCTTCTGGGCAACAGCAGCAGATGGAATTCAAGCAACTCCTGAAGCATGCTGGAGAGATCAACAAACAAAACCCTTCCAGGACAAGGACCCTGATGGACCGGCTCAGCTTGGTGGAAAACAGAGTATTATCCATGTCTTCAAGTCTACAGAAATTGCAGGAGGAGGGCAGAGTGAATCTGAACCGCCTGGAGGAGCAGCTCAACTCTTTGACAGCCCTGTTGCTGGGGATCCTTTCTGGCTGCAAATTGCCTTGCAGTGATTCAGTCCTGAAGACATCCATTCTTGGTGAGTACACTGGCGTTCTTGGCTTCCAGTTTTCTAACTGGTCTCTCTTGAGAAGAGCTAGACTCATCTCCAGCAGAGTGAATACAACATGCAATGTTGCTAGGTTTTAGCAAGATGGACTCATAAAACTACAAAGCTAACAAAGACCTGTACAACAATACGAGTCATTTCCAAGTTTCCTTAAAACTTTAAACACAATGATGAAGGTTAAACTTTCTTTCTAAACTATAAACCAGTACAAATCTTAAAAAGTATTATTCAAATTAAGTGGACTATAATACTTCTCAAGCTTTCAAAATCAGCATCTTTTTCTTATTTCTTCTCGTTTTTTCTTATACGCTTAGCAATTTTGGGGGCAGCTTCTCCCAACTCAGAGTCAGAAACCTCTCCAGAGGAAGTACTCAATGAGTTAGTGGTCGTTCCCGAACCATATTCATTGTCTTCACCTTTTGATTTATTGTCCTCTGCTTTCTTCTCCGTATTGTACTTTTTTTGATGTCTCTTCAAAAAGGCTTCTGCTTTTGCAACAGAGTCTATCTTTTGTTTTGAATCCTTGAAATTGAAAACAAGTCCTTCTGGGATCATCCATCTGTAAGAAGTGGCATTTTTCTGTAAAAAATTTTTTTCAGTTTTTTATATACTTATCTCAAATGGAATGTCCTTCAGAGTTTTAACATTTTCTCCTTTGATTTTCAAGGTAGTCCCATTAGTCGCTTTAAGTATTGCAGCTCGAGTTGATCTTTTAAAGAAACTCACACATTTTTCAACAGGCAGATTATTTTTCTTGATGTATTCCGGATAAGTCTGGTACACCACATCTATCTCACTTTGTCCTCCCTGTCCTGATTCTTGACACCCCTATGCCTAAACATATTCTCTAGTCTCAACAACAGATGCTTATACAACACTGATGTTCATTCCCTCTGTTCCTACCTTCAACCTATCCTTTCCTTCTCACAATCCTATGATAATGTTATAGCAGTCTATGTATAAGACTAAAATATGAGTCCAGTGGCATCTTTAAGACCATCAAAGCTGGTCTTAAAGGTGCCACTGGACTTTTGTTGGTCTTAAGGTGCCAAGAGTCAAATTTCTGTTGTTTCAGACTAATATGGCTACCCACCTGGATCTATGTATAAGACTCTGTATAATTTCATTTCATTTCTAGCCTGCCTTTCATCATTATGTAGATCCAGGACAGATTACAAATTTAATAAAAACAATCTATCAAACAAACACTAACACTAGGGAAATCCAGTAATAGCCACAAATCCCTGACTGCAGCGCAGATTGAAACAGACAGGCTTCTCAGCGGTCTGTGGCTCCATGGTTAAGCACTGGCTTTTCATGCAAAAGGTCCCAGGTTCAATCCCCAGCATCTCCAGTTAAGAGGCTCAGATCGGAAGTGATGTGAAAGACCTCCATCTGATATCCTGGAAAGCTACTGCCAGTCATAGTAGATAATACATTGATAGACAAATAGCTCAGACAGGTTCATGTGTTCAGGGGGAAAGGAGTTCCACAAATAAAGTGCCATCATGGACAAAAGCCCTGCTTAATATTCACAGGCCTGACTTCTGAAGAAGACAGTGTGTGGAGAAGATGACGAGGTTCATGCAGGAGAAGGCATTCCTTAAATAAACAGAACTGAAGTCCACTGAGGCTTTAAAGATCAAAAAGAGCATAATGAATTGGTACAAGTTACTCTGAGGCATGGTCCCTTTTCACGCAACAGCTTAAATGGCATTTGATGCTGTTATTGTTCCCCTCTTGTCCATTGATAATGCAAAACAGAATGGAGAGGGGATACATTCACTAAGCAAATGTGCATTCTGACCAATGTAGGTTTTACATTCTCAGTACAAAGCAGTCTTGTGAAGAAGACCTGATCAAATGCTTTTTCTTTCTCTCTTTTTTTTGTATTTTTCATATGTGCATATGTGTCTGTGTGTGTGTGTGCATGAGAGTATGTGTGCACCTGGAAGTCATGGTGACCTCTGGTGACTGACCCCTCCTGGGGGGCTAGAGGATATTCAGAGAGGTGACTGAATAAAACCTGCCCCCACCTCCCGCCTCTGGTATTCCAAGGAGGTCTCCTATCCAAGTACTTGCCAGAGTTGACTCCACTTAGCTTCCAAGATCTGACGAGATCAGGCTTGCCTGGGCTATCCAGGTCAGGGCGATCAAATGCTTTTTCAACATTCAAACAGGGGCAGAGACCAAGAGACCAAGACTGAGAATGGTAGTTGAACTGCTATTCCTTTTGGACTGCTGCTGTTATGTCCAGAAAAGCAGGTAGTTGGTCTGTACATGGGCCTGTGTAGCACAAAGTCAATCTGAACTCACTGCAGGCTCATTGCAATCTTGTTGTTGATAGTTTAAATATATTAGCATGCACATTGCCAAATTATGTACTTTGGCACCATAATGGTTGCATGGCATTTTGTTCTTGTTTTATGATCACAGCAACAGTTTAGTGAATCAGAAGAAAGAGAGTCCCACAGCTTTATCAGCAACTATCTCTTGGAAGCAACTGAGATCAGAGGTGGCTTACACAGCAGTGGGCCACTGTGGATGAACAGCTGGCAGTACCTGGTGCAGCACGATGACATCATTCCCCATTCCCCAACACAGTGTTGTGTGAGCTGCCCTCTGCAGATTGTGGGGCTCCTTTGTCTCTTGTGCACTGCTCAGCAACAGAGTTTATTTCCTCCATTCTGTCCCTTCCACCAGTTGCCATTAGAAGTATGTGCAGGTTTTTTTTTAAATGTTGCACAGGATGCATAAGTGTCAAGCTATATAACTACATTGCTCCAAAGTTGGAACCTCCAACAAATGTAGTTCTTCTAGATCTGGATTTCTTCTTGCACCATGAGGTTATAAATAAAACGTTGTAAATTGTTCGTGGAGGTCCAGTGGGATACAGCTTCTGATCCCTGGCTATGGTGGATCTTAGAGAGCTGAGAGAGGCCACGTCCTCAAGGCCAGTGTATTCCCTTGTCTCCTTCTCAGGGCTTTTTTTGTAGAAAAAGCCCCGCCGGAACTCATTAGCATAATAGGCCACAACCAACAGCAGAAACACATTAGCATATTAGGCCACACACCTGACAGCACAGCTCATTAGCATATTAGGCCACACACACCCATGTGTGTCTGGTCATCCAGCCACACCCACCTTTTGCTTCTTAGTCTGTTTATCTTGTTTGTTGTCAAAACCCAGGGCTTTTTTTGTAGCAGGAACTCCTTTGCATGTTAGGCCACACACCCCTAATGTAGCCAATCCTAATGCATTTCTGCTGTTGGGTGTGGCCTGTTATGCTAATGAGTTCCTGATGGGTGTGGCCAACTCGGGGGCCGGCCGGAACTCCGTTCCTGTGCGTTCCTGTCCAAAAATAGCCCTGCTCCTTCTCAAGGTGAGCTCTGCCCAGAACAAAAGTTGTCTAAAAGAAACAGTCTATCTTGTAATATCTGTGATCACATTTCCACTTTATCCCATTTCGGACTTCCAAATGGTCACATTAATACATGCGCCAAGCAGATTGAGCCTGGTTTAGCTTGCTTGTTTATTTATATATTTAATTATTCAGGATATTTCTGTACGACTGCTTCAGAGTCCTGCTTGAGGCAGCTTACGATTAAACAACATAACAATGTAAAAACAAACCATTGGAGAGAAACAGCATAAAATATATCGTCAATCTACATTTTTACAAGAATAAAACCTGGGGTGGGAAGGATTGCAGTAACTGCACATGCCAGGGCAGTCACATAACCCCACCCCCCGCATGTTCTAAATGAAAGGCACCATGCACAGAAATGATTATGTGAATTGACCCTCTGTATCTGAGCCCCCAGAGTTTAACAGGAACAGGCCATGCTTCAGAGTCCTCATTCACTACTTGCCCGGCTTTCTTTTTCTCTGCCTCCCCCTCCTTGCCTTCCCCTCCCCATTTCTTCTGCATGACATGTTCCACTCCTCTTCTCTTTGATGTCTGATGTCTGACATCCCAACAGTTTGCATTCCTTCAGGAATTCCAGACAGCTGGATGCTGTATTAGAAAGAAATGTTCGAGGGGTTTGCTGCTGACTTTTACAGCTGTCAGGCTGTCTGGTGCTGTAAAGGGAACTATTCTCTCTCTTTCAAACACAATCCCCTCACTGTTTGCCGTTTCCTTCAGATTGGACCTCCAGATAGTACCCTCTCCCTCTTGACATCCTCCCTTCTGATTATGCCAGACCAAAAGATGAATAGAAAGGGAGATGGAGATGTTATCATGGGAGAGGGGAGGAATGGCATCGGGCCAGCGACCCTTGGAAAGCCGGGGGGGCGGGGGGGGGAATGAGATCAGCTGGCTTTCATTTAGACATATAACTGAAAAATAATACATTTTAAAAAACCACAATCCTCTAATTGGTTTGTAAATATATACCATCCATTTCTAGGGAACCACCGTGATGCAGAAAGTCTTAATCAGCCAGACACAATGCTAGAAAACCCACGACCATATTCTTGCTTATGGTCATATAAGAAGAGCCCTGCTGGATCAGACTAGCAACCTGGACCAGCATCCTGGTTCGCATAGTGGTCAACCACTTGCCCTGGAGGGCCAGCAAACGGGATAGAGGCCTTCCCCTGAAGTTGTTTCTTAAAACTGGAATTTAGATGTCCACTGCCTCTGGGTATGATGGTTCCCTTTTGTCACAATGGGCCTATCTTCTATGAATCTGTTTAATTCCTTTTTAAAGCTTGAGGCAGATAACCTGTGTGGAATTTTTACTGCAAGGATGGCCAGCTTCTGTACTTTTATGAGGCACTGTAGTCTGCATAGCTAGAAGCATAATTTTCTACCAAATCTGACTCCTTAATGGGAGGGCAATTGGGTTTGACCAGCACAGCATTTCCACAAGCACAAGGATTTCTGCCCATTGGAGTGTGGATTTCTCAGCTTCCCCCTCCCACAGCAGCCCAAATCTTGTTCCTGGGGACCACCCCTCCCCAGGAGCTATTTCCACAAGCACAAGGATTTCTGCCCATTAAACATCACATTGGGGACGTACGCCGCCCGCCCGCGCGCCTGATCTCCAGAAACGGCAGTTTCCTGCACTTAAAGGAGCCGGCGTTTCCCTTTTAAGTACACAGAGCCGGCGTTTCCCCTTTAAGAGCAAGGAGCCAGTGTTTCCCTTTTCAGTGCACTGGAGCTGGCATTTCCCTGCAAGCCTGATCTCAAGCAGAGATCGGGCTTGGGAGGAAATGCAGGTTCCATGAACTTAAAGGCAGCCACCCCTCTCTCTCTCAAGAGAGAAGGGAGAGGGGTGGCTGTGGGTGTTGCGGGTGGGGCTTCCCCCTGCAGGCCATCTTGCCGGCGGTGGGTAGAACCCCCCTAAAAACAGGGGACTCCTGGCAAACCTGGGGAGGGTGGCAACCCTACCAGGAGCAGGATTTCAGGTGACATTTCAGGCTGCTGCGGGAAGGGGACCCAAGCAAGTTCACAAGCAGCAGCCCTTGTGTCTGCAGAAACACTGCGCTACATCCAATCCATGATCCATAATGGTCCAAGTATATATGAAAACAGCAGACTCCCACGCTTTAAATGCAGGGACTACCTGATCACGTAGTTACCAAGCAGGGCTTGGATTTGAAGAGAAACGGGGGCACATGGATGCTGAATCTTCCCACCTACAGCTTACCTGCATGGAGTCTGTTTCCCAAAGTCATTTTTTGGTCCCAGCTGGGCTCCAGCTCTGAAAATGAGCCAAGCTGGGACAGAAGCGCCATGGATGAGGGCCTGGGATCGAGGGAGTATTCAGCACTCCTCGCCCACAGGCCACCTTTGTCTTTAAAATTGGACCTCCCCATTCTCCAAGACCCATACCTGAAGAGACAAATCAGCTGCCATTACCCCTAACTTACTATTATAAAGTCAACAGCATTTAGCTGTGATGCGCTGAGTTGTTAAGAAATCAGAGAAGTATTGGAGGGAGTGACTCAGCATGCCTGGACAAGGAGGGGGGGATGCCACATCACTCTAAAGTGGGTACAGGTGTTATCTCCTGGAATGGGATGCCTCCCTTTGTCTTAACCTGGGAGGTGCCCTCTGACCCCTCCTCTTTCTCGCTTTGTCCTCTCACTCCCTTTACATGGCCTTTCATGGAGACACATGTCTCTGGAGGCCTCTCCCATAGAGAGAGTACCCTCATACTCCCATGCACGTGATGCCGGACAAGCTGGCCATTTGTGACAGGGAAAGCGCTCTTTAGATTAGGCTTCTCTTCTTTTGACTGCTTGTGAATGTGAACTGGATCTACTTCAATAAATGTTTTTCTTTTTTGCAATATACTTTTTGGGAGATTTACTGCACTCATTATCACGCTTCTGTGACTGAGCAAAACTCTGCTATATCAACCAAATATCCCAATAAGAAGATCACATTTCACTGGTGTAAGTGAAATCACTCTTTGATGTGCCTAACTGCAACATGCTGACACTCATAACTAATGTAGCCCCAGCAGGGCTCAGATGAGATAATGGTTTTCCCCACTGTGCATCACAGTCACCCTTAATTGTGTTGATTTTTATCTGCCATTCTTTTCCTTGGCCACATTGTTTATGAGATCCTTTCTGTTGTGATTGAATACATAGTTTTTAGACATTCCCTTATATTAGTCTGGTGTGTTAATTTGAAGACCTTCCCTAAGGCCACATGTTCAAATAGGCAGTTCAATTGCTTGAGAGTGCTTGCAAAAACCTGTTGGAGTTGCTCCTTAGGTATAAAACTGTTTGAACTCCTTCTAGTTTCTGTTTTGTAACCCACAAACATGATACTTTCCAAGCTATTGGGATTTTGTCCTTTTCCTTGGCCACACTGCTTGTAAGATCCTTTCCAAGCTATTGGGATTTTGTCGTTCTGAATCATTTGACTTGACTGATTTAAATATGTTACCCTACTCTTCTACCACAGTAAAGACTCAAAGAGTCCTACAAAAATACATTTCATATATACACAAGACAAAACCATCCAACATTCCGGTCTGGTGCTTTTCCCACTAGCGACAAGCTGCAAGCCATGGGCTATGAGCCCAAGTCTCTTTGGCTCTTGCCCTTCAGCTGGCATCAAAGGCTCAGCCCTCTGGCCACACCCAGGATTTAAAGTACTTGCAGAAGGGAGAGAACTAGGGTTGCCAGTCTCCAGGTGGTGGCTGGAAACCTCCCTTTATTACAACTGATCTCCAGGCAACAAAGATCAGTTCGCCTGGAGAAAAATGGCCGTTTTGAAAGGTGGATTCTGGCATTTTACCCCACTGAAGTCCCTCCCCTCCCCAAACCCCGCCCTCCTCAGGCTCCACCCCGCCTCCAAATCCCCTGGTATTTCCCAACCTGGAGCTGGCAATGCTAGAAGAGACAGAAGCTGAGCCCTGGTCTTAAGCAGCTGGCACTGTGAGGACACTATGACTTTAAGTGGGTGGTGCTCAACATTTATTTATTTATTTATTTATTTAACTTTTATCCCGCCCTCCCACCAAGGTGGCTCAGGGCAGCTTACATAAAACCAGTAAAACAGTAAGCATTTAATATAAAATACATAACAACTTAAAACCATTTTTATATATCATTGGCGGCGCAGTATAATAAAATGCATCCAGAACACCATCCATGGTACAGCCACTTTAAATAGCTTCAGCCGGCAGGTTGGCACCGGCCTCTCCTACTGGAATGCCTGCTGGAAAAGCTCTGTTTTCACGGCCCTGCGGAACTGCTGGAGGTCCCGCAGGGCCCTGATCTCACTGGGGAGCTAATTCCAGTAGGTCGGTGCCGCCAGGGAAAACGCCCTGGTCCTGGTTGATGGAAATTGTCCAATGCTGGTGTTAAAGTCGCCTGCAAGTAATGTTAATGCTCTCTGGGATATTGTGCCACTATCATCTCAAGAAGGTTCCCCAACTCCTTCCATAATTCTAATGTATCCTTGTGTAATATTGGGGGAGGGGAATAGAATGTGGTGATTATGAGAGAGAGAGAGCTGGCAATTGGAACAGAAAGGCGATTATATATTGCTGGGCAACAATCCAAGATATACCAGAACAGTTTAAGGCAATGGAGACTAAACATGGTAAGCCAGATTTTGGACGACCTTCATGTAAATTGGAATAGGCATTTAAAGCATATGAAGTATAGTCTGGTAAGTTTACAGGTTCTCTGGCCCAAGTTTCCTGCACTAAAATAATATGAAAATCTGTTGAAAAGTTTCTAGCTCCAGGTCCCTCAATCTGTTGTTCCATCCTGTGATGTTACAGTATATTGAATTCTGAATATGACGGGCACAGTTGCTCCCAGACCCCTCTGTTGGCAACTAGTTCTCTTCTGACTCCAAACTATTGACAAATAAATTCAGTGGTCTCAACGTATGCTTGGGGTAAACTCCTGTTTACTTCCCTCAAGTGTGAAAACGTCCACTTATTACTGCCCACTGCTTCCTGTTTTTTAAAGCAGTTACTGATCCAAAAAAGCACGGGACAAACAATAAGGAATGCTTTTCTCCATCGTATCATATGTGCAAACTTCCCTGGGGGTATGCCTGACCATTGTTTTTGTTGTTGTTCTGATAGTTTTTGTATTTTATTCATATGTGCCTGTGTGTGTGCACCTGGAAGTCATGGCAACCTCTGGTGACTGACCCCTCCTGGGGGCCTGGAGGATATTCAGAGAGGTGACTGAACAAAGGCTACCCTTGTCCTCCCGACTGCTGGTATTTCAAGGAGGTCTCCCATTCAAGTACTTGCCAGGGTCGACCCCGCTTAGCTTCCCTTTGTGCTCTCCATTGTCCTTTTGCATTCAGTGGATGTATAAGAGTGTGAAAAGAATACTGTCTTCCTTCCTTCATTTGAAATCTAGTCATGGTGGAGTTATGTGAGACGTAGACTAGACAGTTCTCTTCTGCAAGTTAAATATGAGTTTGCCAAAGGTCTGTCGCCTTGAGTAGTTGACTAAGGGCCTGTGCCCTAAAAAGTTAGGTTGCAGGACAAAATTCAAGAGGCCCAGTTCTTTGTCACATCTCTGTGCTGGGGAGGACTGCAGTCCTTGAATAGCTCTGTCCAGGGCTTTTTTTGTAGAAAAAGCCCAGCAGGAACTCATTAGCATAATAGGCCACACCCAACAGCAGACACTCATTAGCATATTAGGCCACACCCTTGACAGCACAGCACATTAGCATATTAGGCCGCACTCCATGTTACCAGAAGTGTGGTCATCCAGCCACACACCCCTTTTGCTTCTTATTCTGTTTACCTTGTTGTCAAAACCCAGAGCTTTTTTTGTAGCAGGAACTCCTTTGCATGTTAGGCCACACACCCCTAATGTAGCCAATTCTAATGAGTTCCTGCTGTTGGGTGTGGCCTATTATGCTAATGAGTTCCTGCTGGGTGTGGCCAACTCAGGAGCCAGCCGGAACTGCGTTCCTGTGTGTTCCTGCCCAAAAATAGCCCTGGCTCTGTCAGAATGTAACTGGTCACTGACTTGTACAGGACCTCTTTCATCCACAGCATTCTAGGCAGCAAAGTGCACTGGTTAGATTCTGCATCATAAAATGGATAGGGATGTAACAGATGGATTCAAACATCAGCAAGTCAGAAGAAGATCTGAGTGACTCCATCACTAGTGATTGGAAATGGAGAAGATGATGCTTATCACAAGAAGTATTTTGCAGGAACTTCACTGATCCCACGTACTTTTTTCAGATTTAGGAAAAGACCACAAGGCTGAAGAGACACCAGCACTTTTGGGTTAGTAGAAATCAACTATATATATATATATATATATCTCATGCCTTCACAGTTTATTTATTACTGATGTTGCTTCAGTGGGGAGGGCAGGGCAGAAATTAAATAAATAAATATTAGGGTTGCCAGCTCTGGGTTGGGAAATACCTGGAGATTTGGGGGGGTGGATCCTGTGGAGGGCAGCATTGGGGGGGATGGAAGGACTCAGCAGGGTATAATGCCCTAGGGTCTACCTTCCAAAGCAGCCATTTTCTCCAGTGGAACTGATCTTTGTCATCTGGAGATCAATTGTAACAGCGAGAGATCTCCAGGTCCCACCTGGAGACTGGCAACCCTAGGGGAAAGTCTGCCGAAAAGCAGGAGGTTGAAGAGAATGGTTTGATGGCCGCTGGCCCACCTCATTAGCCAGCCAGCCATGGCGGAGCCAAAAAGGAGCCGTTTTGAGATTATTCTGACAGGAAAATGGCCAAGCTGGCAGTGGGTGGAAGAGGGGTTATGCTGAAAGTCCTTTCTCTTTTTACTGACAGAAGCAAGCTTGGTTGCCTACCAACAGCCACTGAGGGGACAGTTATTCCCACACAGGAGCCAAGAGAAGTGTCTTCCTCAGTAGAGAGAGCTGTCTGCCAGTAAATCTGACAGGGAACAGGGGCTGAAGTGAAAATGGGTGGGGAAGAGGAGCAGACCCAGCACCTGGCCAATGGCACGCATGTACTCTTGAGTGGTGGCCGGCGGCCCAATTGCTGATGGAATCACTCTGCACAGCCAATGGGAGAGCTAGAAATAGTCAATACGCTAACTCCAGCAACACATCCACTGGATTGGCACACCGTTGGAGTGACAGGTCAGCAAGCCAAATGCTGTGGGAGCGTGTGGAACGTTCACCCCAAAACAGGATTATATATAAGGAGAGATGTGTGGAGATGAGAGTCTCACTCCCCAACCATATATAAACTCTGCTCACTTGGGAGGCACTGGTGCATAGGGGTTATCTTGCCGAGCATCTGTTTTCTTACCAAGCGGAATGCCTCTCTATCCTGTTAGCATAACTATAATAAAGTTAATAGGCATTCTTGACCATGTAAGAAAGGGGTTTCTGCAAAGCAGGTAGCATATCCAGGACTGGGTCTCATTGTCAGGCCCTAGTGGCTTACTATAGCTCACTATGTCATCTTCTTCTAGTGGAACCATCTGAAAAATCCGAGCACACCTACCCTCGCGATTGCGCTGAGATCCACAAGCAGGGCATCCAGGACAGCGGGATTTACACCATCCAGCCCATTCCTCTCCGCCAGCCCTTTGAGGTAAGGTAGGTAGTTTCAGGCATGCACCTGAATACATTAATCAGATCACCACAGGCCAAGTATGGTCTGCCCCATTCACCCAGAGGTTGCAGAATCATAGTGCATATGCGGCTTCTTGCTCCAATATTGTGTGGCACCATAGCCCACTTAAGTTGTCACACATACAGGATATGCAGTGATATTTACCCAAGGTGGGTGGTGGTTTCAGTTAATCTTCCTATATATCCTTAGAGGAATATCTTTTGTCCTTTCTACTTTGCTTGTATCCAGAGTAGGTGGCAAAGGACCACTACAGCCACCTGCTTGTTTCAGACCTTTTCATTCACCAGTTGTACACTTTTGCTCACAGTCTCTTCAATCTCCCTGAAATTTACAGAACTGTTCCCTGAGTTTCTGAAGTGGGTCCTCACATTATTTTCCTAGTATCTCTGAATGAACCCTCTTCCAAAGGATGTGCCTTCATCTTTCTTCCATTTGTTCAATTTCTGTCTTTCATCAATTCCATTTTTCCCTTGTTTTATTTATTTATTTATTGTATTTGTCTTTTTCCTTTCCATAAAATGTTCCAAATAGTTTAAAACTCTACAGTAAAAAGAATTCAAATAACCTAAAACCAAAATCATACTAAAACGCATAAATCAATAAAAGTAGCAATAAGAGAATCAATCATTAAAAGCTAGCCGAAATTTTAATGCTTTGATGGAAATGCTTTACAGATTTCTGTGTCATTAAAATCATCAGACCCATGAAACATTTATTAAGGGTAGCATGCCGTCTCTCTTAGTGGGGAAACATACCAGTCTCTTTAATATCCACCACATACGAAAGAGCATACCCAGCATGTGTGGATTCCTTGGTTCTGTGTGCATGCAGTGCTTTTTAGCAGTCTGAAATCCCACTGATCAACTGCTTGGTAAAGGGGGGCAGGGACTTAACCTCTCCCTGCTTCCCCTCCTGAACAGCTGTTCCGTGGGGTTTCAGCTTTTAAAAATGAGTTCTGAGGACGTGTTGGGTGGGACTGTGGAATTCTACATGCAATGCCTGTATGCACATTTAATTCTCTGTCCTGCCAAAACATCTGCACAGAGAAGCCTGCTTCCCCTACCAGGATCTGTGTGCTTCTATTATGCATTAATCTGTAGTAAACAACATATCTGGGGCCCCTGCAGACTAATTAGAATGTTCATTTCATGCATAACCATGCTTTGAAAAGAGATAGGGGTGTCTATTCTTTTTTAACATTATAATTTTAAGTGTGTTAAGGGAGTTAAAGTGTTAAATGCTAATGTACATCCTTTTTGCGTGATCCGTTAACACGTGTCCCAACTTCAATGTAACATTTGTACAATTCTCCTGCAATAGTGGTGTAACCTGTCATCATATGGTCACAAGGAAGACTCAGTAGTCGAGCACACACTTTGCTTGCAGACTATCATACTTTCAATCCCCAGCCTCTCCAGGATCTCAGGAAACAACTAGCTTTGGGAAAGACTTCAGACCTTGCAGATTGACTCCCAGGCCAAGTAGAAAGTACTGAGCTAGATGGCTCAATGAGCGGTCAGGCAGCTTCATATGTCCCTCGAAGAGCTGTTGTAGGAGACGCAGCCTTCCTAGGATTAGCTATGCTGCTATTGAAATCCATTCATAAAATGTGGGTAGATACACAATAAATGGGAATTCCAGAGAATTAAAAAGAATTCCAGAGCATTGAAAAGGAACAAACTAAACTTCACAAAATTGTAATACTCAGAATTTTGAAACAAATAATAGCTAACCATGCACTCATGTGCTGGAGCTCCACAGTCACCGCAAAATTGAAGTAAAACTCATCAAGTGGTGCCTGAATCGGTGGCAGTGCAAATTGTTATCACTTACTGCTCAGAATGACAAGGCCAGTTGTTAGGCATGTATTTCAATAGATTCAGTACATAAAATGCAAGCAAAAGTTAATCCAAAAATGATGGATATGCTTTCTATAGAGCCAAAATGGCAATGTTAGGCATTGCCTGGTTGATAAGGGAACTATCATTTGAATGATTAAAGAATCTCTCTCAGCCCTCGGTCAAGACACAATGGGTTCCATCAAGGATAGGCCTTGAAACTGAAGCTGCAACCAAAGTCTGAGGACAAATGAAGTTATCTCAGAGACATTTAGATCAATTGGCTTTATAAAAGAATCCTTCGAATAGTGTTTTGATAAATGGACTGAGAATTCCGTTAGAAATGCCTAGACCTCCTGCTGGAACATTTCCCAGGCTTCCATGTGAGCAGGGGTTTTAAAGCAAGGGATGCCCAGAGTTCAAGGAGGAGCGTAGGCAGGAGAAAACCACCTCCAGCCTGGAAGATGATGTCATCATGGGATGATGTGAGTTTGGGGTGGAAATAGGGTTGCCAGCCTCCAGGAGGTAGACAGAGATCTCCCAGAGTTACTACTGGTCTCCAAACAATAGAGATCAGTTCCCCTGGAGAAAATGGCTGCTTTGGAATGTGAACTGTATGTCACTATACCCTGCTGAGGTCTCTCCCCAATTCCCCAAACCCCACCCTTCCCAGGCTCCACCCCCCAAAACTCCAGGTAATTCCCAACCCAGAGCTGGCAACCCTAGGTGGTTCAGAACAGGGCTTTCTTTTCTGTTTGCTGTAGGAGCATTCTGCTTCTACTGCTCACTGATGACGCTCATCTCCTGTACTCTCAGGCATACTGTGACATGGTGACAGATGGTGGTGGATGGACTGTGATCCAACGCCGGCAGGACGGTGCTGTGGATTTCAACTGCACTTGGCAGGAGTACAGGCAAGGGTTTGGCAGCTTGCAAGGTGAGCATTGGTTGGGCAACGAGCACCTCCATAGCTTAACCCGTCTGGGTCAGCATATCCTACGCATAGAGCTGGAGGACTGGCATGGTGTCAAGCGGCATGCCATTTACCGCAAATTCAAAGTGGCCAGCGAGGCCAACAAATATCGCCTGACAGCCCGGGAATATCAGGGCAGTGCTGGCAACGCTCTGAGCTACAGTCGCAACTACAACCATGACCACAAGTGTTTCACCACCTGGGACAGTGACAATGACAATTATCCTATGGGCAATTGTGGGACATACTATGGCGCTGGCTGGTGGTTTGACTCCTGCCTAGCAGCCAACCTCAATGGGAAATACCACCGGGGACGCTACAGTGGGGTGACCAGCGGCATCTACTGGGGCACATGGTACATTCTGATTGACAAAAGGACCAATCAAAAGTATTCCTTCAAGAAGGTGGAGATGAAGACCAGACCTCTCAGCTTTTAAGAGCAGTTCACAGCCAAAATAATGTGTACAGAACTTGTGGCAGGGAAAGGGTCTTCTCAATCAGGAGATCAAAGTGAACAGGAGGAAATGAAAGACAGTTGCCTGCTGCTCAGATTGGGAGGTCCAAAGCTTCATTCAAAATAAAGTGAAACCTTAGTCATGGTGGGTAGTTCTGCGTAGACATGGGGGAGGGGCAGTAATAAACGTAATCTCCAAGCCACTCACAACCTTCTTCCTTAGTAATACTTAGCAAGAGCCAGTTCTGCAACCACCATCTTGAATCACAGCTGCAGAGCCTTGCTTCCTCTTTCATAACTTTGCACAGGTTCCTTCATGGTCCATGGTGGCATCCATCTCGGATTCATAAGACATGGTGGCCACTGGAAAAGGCTTCATTTTAGTGGATGCTGAGTCCCTGCTAGGCTTATTCTCACAGGCACTGTCCACCAACCAGAAAGCCATGCTTTATTTTCAGGAGGAATCAGAGCAAGGACGTGATATGTAGTATGAAGGCTTTTGTGGACATGAGTGCCCCAACATTTGCATCCCTCACCACCACCCTTCAAGGGCATTATACTGAGTTTTACAGAAAAAATTGTGAGCATCTTGAAATGGACGATCCTGGTACTTAACTTCCAAGGAAAAGATGTCAATATCAGGGATCATCCCTAGAATCCCTACTTCTTTACTCCATATATGTACACAGAGAGGTTAAGAATTCCTCTGAGTACAACCCAGAGGCATTCAGATGTCAAATTTGCCTTTTCTAGACACTTGAAAGTAGAAAAAAATGATCCTGAGTCATGCCAGTTTGGAGCATCAGAACTGGACACGTTTCTTCAGTAAGTCTCTTTAATATTGTACTTGCTTGACCAGAAGTCCACCTGCCCACTTCAGAAAAGAAACAGGAAAATTACAGGAAGCAGATATCACACTAAAGATGAACATACTTTGTGTCCACACAACACAACTGCATATTTTTCTTAACCTAGAATTTGGTCCTAGCTCTGGAGGATTTAGATTTTACTCACAGTACACCTGAGCCACAGGCCATAGCTCCAAATTATACTAGAGTACCAGCTCCTAATTTTGTCAATGAAAAAAAGAATCCAGTGGGATACCCATATTAATCTATTAATTATCCAAAAAACTGTGCTGTAGCATTTTAGGTACTAACAGATCTATGGAGATGTTTTGCTGGCATTTCCCATTGGTTCTTTAAGAATAGCAGCTTTGAGGTCAGTGGAAGTTCTCTCCCCCAGGTTTTGTGCCCATTCATTCGTTTGCACAGAGGCTGACCGGTTTTGTCCTACACAGATGGCAGAAGGGTCTTCTTCCCAGATGACTGCACATATTGCGCATATATCAGCAAGTTCCTGGCAGTACAGTTGATGTCCATAGTTCCTGTAATAATACTGCCTGAGTAGATATGGAGACCCAGAGTTAGTATCCAGGTTTGTTGCCAGGTCTGAGCCGTAGGTGTAAGTGTGCCACCACTGCTGATGACTGTACTAGACTAAGGGGCTGTTTGTTTGGTTCCAGCCAAGATAAATAGCATTGAAATAACTTTAGTTGCTTCAAGTCAGCATATTCCAAACTTTTTGATGCCTGGGGCTTAAAACTGGAAGCATATCTATACATTCAGAAAGATTGATCAGCTACCATAATAAAGGGTAGCCATCCTCCTTGAAAGACGGGGAAAGTACAGTTGATACTACATCCCTTCCCTTTTGTGCAATCAATCAGGGCTCAAGAATGAGACCAATCTTTCTGGACAATGGTGATGCATTTAGGATTCCCTTTACCTGTAGTAAAGTACTTGAGCTGCGGTGGCTCAAGTGGTTAAGACGCTGAACTGCAGGCTGTGGAAGGTCAGTAGTTCAGCAGTTCGAGACCCGAGTGTGCCGCATGATGGAGTGAGCTCCCATCTCTAGTTCCAGCTCCTGCCAACCTAGCAGTTCGAAAGGTAACAGCGTTCCGTGCGCCTTGGTGTTTAGTCATGCCGGCCACATGAACACGGAAACGTCTCCGGACAGCGCTGGCTCTTCGGCTTTGAAACGGAGATGAGCACCACAACCCTAGAGTCGGATTCGACTGGCTTTCGAGCAAGGGAACCTTTACCTTTACCTTACCTGTAGTAGAGGGAATCCCAATACATCTATACTCCCTCTCCCTGTCGTAATTTCACTGTCCCGCTCTTGACAGGGGAGGAAAGGAATCAGTGCTTTACAGGACCTCCCCACCAAGGGCAGAGTGGTAGATGCTTCCAATAAAATGGCTTCATTTCTCAAGGCTTATTGATCCCATTCATAGCACTCCATTTGGGATCACCATTGCACAAAGAGAGACTGGCCAGCGGTTCTGTGGCTAGACTACTTTATGACATTATTAAAAATATCTTTTAAGCAATCCTGGGGTCTGAAGTCCCTGGAGGCTCAATCCCTGGGCACTGTTCAAACGAGAAGCAGCACTTGTGTCCTTGGGTACCAGTGATGACATTACAATGCCCTCCATCATTATTGTTTTTTAAGACTCCAAAAATAGTATCAATATGATGCAACACAAAATACCAGACCGGCTTCTCTGCATTTTTTCTAGTTCTGTTACCTTCTCCTAAAAGATAGTTAAACTTTGTGAAAAGATTCTGCACTGGGAGCAAAAAATGCAGTAAGTAGCACAGCCTATGAAACTGCCTTAATACAAAGACAGCCCACTGATTGCTCTCACTGGTATTATCTACTCTGACCAGCAGCAACTTTTCAGGGTCTCAGGCAGAAAGGTCTTTCCTAACAACTGATGTCTGGGGACCCCTGTAACTGGAGATGGCAGAGGTTCAACCTTGGACTATCTGTGCATGTGCTCTACCACTAGGCAACATATCCCTTTAGAAGTGTTATTAAAGCTAGAAGCCAAGACTACGCAGATTCTGAATTCCATATCTCACCTTCATACACTGGCTAGATTTAAAAAAAAATGTAGAAGAGCCAATGGAACATTTGCCTGTTACCTTTTTTGGCTGCTTTCCTTGCCTGGGGCCATGCATGAACATTGCTTGGCATGGAACTAGCCTCCTGAATGGTAACATGCTGTAATTACAGAACAGATGCATCAAGACTTCAAAGCCAAAATGAGAATGGGACAGACTACTAGTGAAAGAACAAACCAATGGGGACAGGCGCTGTTGCTTCTCTCATAAATCGCATCCAAAGCAACAGATTTCTTGTGGCAGTCACACATCTTAATAGACCGTGATACAAGTCCAAGGCACCCTTTCCATATAGCAAGGTGTACAGGACTAATATGCTCTGCACCAACACTGAATCATAGAATCACAGAGTTGGAAAGGGCCATACAGGCCATCTAATCCAACCCCCTGCTCAAAACAGGATCAGCCTAGAGTATCCCTGACAAGTGTATAGAATCTCCCCTACAACTCAACTGAAAGCTTCCCATACCCTAAATATACAATCAGTACATAAAAGTTTTAGATACCTTGGAATATTGATTCCAAAAAACCTAAATAAAATGTACCAATATAACTATAAAACACTGTGGAAACAGATAAAAATGGATCTGATTAGATGGGCAAAGCAGAAAACAGCTGTGACTACTCAAGGTGTAGTGATTAAAATGTCTGTTCTTCCAAAATTATCTTTTCTATTTTAGGTGCTACCTTCTGATATTGGATAAAATTCTGAAGGATTGGCAATTAAAATTCGATCAATTTCATTTTAATTCTAAAAGCCAAGAACCACAAAACTCCTAAGGTATTATGCTATTCGAGGAGGGTGGGGTAGTCCAAATATTTCTCTTTATTATGATACACACCGAGACATTTAATCCTGTTTGTTCCTGTGCGACTGAACAACAACAAGGAAACAGGATGGTTAGAGTAAGAGAGATTTAATTTTCAAGAGATGGGGGCATTTCATTTACTATATGATAATGCCTTTATTTAAAAAATCAAGTTGAACTCGTCGTCAACACTCCATTGCCCTATTTTGGTATGGAGGAAATGGAAAAAGGTATTATACCCAGAAATTTCTCTATTGACACCCATTCTGTATCATCCAAAATTTGTTTCAGTTAAAAAGTATGGTTCCAGGGATCAAATAACCTTAATAGGTGCAAATATGACACTCTTGAATAATAGCTGAACGATTCCTGAAGGGACAAAATGGCTGTTGAAACATATCAAATTTTAAATTTTCTCCAAAAGAAGAAAACTAAAGATCAATTAAACAGGCCATTAACTGAATTTGAAGAATTAATTCAAAATATAGATAAGGAGAAGGGGAAATTAATTACTGAAATTTATAGGATATTATTAAATCAGGGTCAAACTCCAGTGCAGATGATTAGAAAGAACTGGGAAATAGAACTGAATACTAAACTTAATTATAAGGACTGAAAACAAATATTTCAACCATTTCCTTTCAAATCAATTTCAAGAGTTTTACATGAACATGCATTAAAGGCATCTCAAAGATGGTACTTCTCCCCAGTTAATGAAAATAGATAGTAAAAACTGCTGGAGAGGCTGTGGAGAACTGGGGACATTTATCTATATGTGGTGGTCTTGACCAGTTGTAGCAAATTTTTGAAAATCAATTTTTGCAGAGATTGCAAAAATAACCCAGGAACAAATAAAACCTACTATTGAATTAGCACGACTTGTTTACCAATGAAAATTTTCAATGTAAACAAAAAACACATATTCTTTTAGTTGCAGCTAGGATGCTTATTGCCCAGTGTTGGAAAATGCTAAAGGGATTTCCTTGGAATATAGCGGCACTTGAAAAACTAACAAATAAAATCAGATTAATCTGGGGAGGGGGGAAAAAGATAATTTGGAATAGTTTTATAAATTATTTAAAACAATTTTCAGTATATAGCTCAGTTGAAAATTGTTTCTAATTGGATGGAGATCCTTACCTGAAAATTTGCTTTAGGTATTGAATAGTTATGTCAGAGGATACTATTTCTCAGAAATGGAATCAATTTAAAATTATGTAAAATTATAGCCAACTAGATGGAAGCACATCCCCCTCACTCCCCTCGTCTTTTTTTCTCCCTTAACTATTTATATCTCTCGTTGGGTTTATATATTTTCTGTGTTTGTGTGTCTCCTTTGGTTGGAACATTACCATAATATAACAGCATTATTTTTTTGTATTTGATATGAAGTTATCAGATGGTTTGTTTTGTTGCGCCAATTATTTTGTTTAAAATAAAAAAATTATATTAAAAAAGTGTGCAGGAGTCTATTCCCAAACCAGACAGATGACAAATTTAACACAGTATGGATTTTCCATGCAATTGGCTTTGTTTTGCACTTAGAGCCTCACAACTGCTTTGATAATATGGGTGCATGACTAGAAAATCCAGATCTTAGAGTGCTCTACAAACCAACTGACAGGGATATTTAAATTCATCCTCAAGCAATAGGGGTATTTTCTCAGAAAGCTACACACTGACAAGAGGAAATATTAAAGGGGATATCATGCTACACACATACTTTAAGAGTAAAAGAAATCTAATTTAATACTGAAGCCAAGGTAAACTGGGAGTTTGTTCTTGATACCTCAGCATGTTGCTGCTAGCCTCAGTTTCATACCAAGAGAACCTCTCTGTACAAGGTTGTGGTAACTGTTATAGTGACAGGCAGTTCTCAAATTTTATTAAATTGTCAAGGTAGAAAAAAGAGCAGAATTATTTTTCCACTTGGCTTAGGCATCTAAAATGTAGACAGAGAGTAGATTGAAAAATCAGGTGTGCATATAATATACATGTATTTTACTACATCAAACTTGTCTCAATTTCTACATCATTTCTTGTCAAAAGAAAACTGGCCCCCGGCATGCAAAGGCAGTTCAGCGCCACCTGGTGCCCAATTTAGGCCTGAATCTTATTTACATGTGAAGAGTTTCATACTGACTAGACATACTTATTAGGGCACTCTCCACAAGACCCTTTTAAAGGACAGCCACTGCAGATCTAAAGGTAGTGCAGTGGCAAGGAAGTTTCCAGTCTCTGCACTATGAGCCTAGTCAAATGTGTGGAGTTGCAAAGGCAGTCTTAAATCTGTGTCTGGCAACAAACAGCCATATTTTAAAATATACTGCATTATAAAACAAAAAAATGAAGAGGGAAGACCCAGAATAAAAAGTTCAAGTTGTTATAAATACAATGAAGGCAAACCCTTCAATCGTTGCCCATGTATCTGCCACCACTCACTTCTTCAACTAAAAATGGAAAGGAAAGGACTTGTTTTAATGTATTTGGAAATAAATCATATAAACAGTCTGGCAAAGATGGTTTTCTTCTACTTATCTCCAATGCACTACCAGCTAGAATTGGAGAAGAAATCCCAGTTTCCTGTTACTGTGTAGTGACTGTTATCCGGAGAATTTATATTCTTCCTTCTGTCCCAATCCAGACACCATGCAAAAAGTTACTTGCACTTCTCCTGAAATAAATGCTTATGGCGGACAGGTTAGGTTGCACCTCTCCCTGAGAGGTACCAATGAGAACTGATGGAATGTTGGGGAGAGACAGTTGGAAAAGGGCAGTTGGGGAGTTGGCAGCTAGGAAGTCAAAGAGGGTAAAGAGCATGTCTGACTGAGTGAAGCTGAGGCTAAAATCAGCTTAAAACTAAACGGAAACAAAAGCCAATCTGTAACCAAAGATCCCAAATGAAAACAGTTCAAGGGAAAGAAACATTGTAACCCAGACCTTACTTTCTTCAGTGTATGTTCAAACCATAAATGAAAGTTAACTCATTTAACTCTGTGAGCTGTGTGTCTCAGGGAAAGAAAGACTAGGGTTGCCAGGTCCCCCGGGGGGGGGGGCAGGGAAATCCCCGCTCCATGGGTCTGTTCCCCGCCAGCCCGGATTGGGACACCGGGGGAACCCCACCCCCAAAGTGCCAGGAGCATGGAGACGGGCCCCGCGTGATGACATCACCCGGCGGTGACATTATCATGTTGGGTACGTTGCAGGGGGACACTATCATTTGAGGGAAAACTCTATGGTTTTCCCTTGAATGATAGTGGTCCCGCCCCCAACGTGCCCAATGCAATGGCGTCACTTCCAGGTGATGTCATCGTGGCGCGCATCAAAGAACTTCAAGAGAGGGCCGGGACTACCCTCACTGCGGCCAAGGTAGGGCTTGGCAACCCTAAGAAAGACACAGTGAAGATCTCAGTCTAATGTTTTAGGATATGAATAAATGGTGGCAGTGTGTGAATGGAAGAAAGTATGTGCCCTCAACCCCAATAACTCAGTGAAGCGTTTGAGTGAGGGTCTGTTATCAAAGGGGGCTGGGCTACCTTGTACCCTGCCGATGTCTTTGTAAGAGAGGGGACCCGAAAGGTGAAATAGATATTAAAAGACAGCAATATGTGACAATTGGACCTACTTGCAACCCTGAACTTGAGAGATGTACAGGGAGGTAGGCACTCTGTGAGTGGAGAAGAGGTGTCACAGTGCTATTATAAGGACATAAGATTAGCCCCACTGGATCAGACCAGTGGTCCCTCTAGTCCAGCACTCTGCTTAGTCATTCTGTGATGCAGAACAGTGGACTAATTTCATATGTTCTTATATAGTAACTAAAGAATGCTCTAGATTCTAGGAGCTATGTGCCGTAATATAACTTAATGCATAGCAATCTATCCCTGCTTCCTTAGGAGAGTTTGATTTATTCCTTCAGTCAGTTTAATACCATCATTATATTTGCAGTAATTAGTTTAAAAGTCCACAAACATCAGAAAATGGTATCTTTAAAGTAAGTAGCAATACAAAAAATTGCCATCACAAACTGATGTACTGCTCAATTTAGAAGCTCAAAGCTTTAGGAAATTTGCTTTAGACCTGAAACACAACCAGAAGCAGAACAGACATAAACTTTATTTCAGTTTGGTCTTTTCTACATGTTGTTTTAAAAAAACAAAAAGGAAAAACCATCTGAGGAAAAGCACAGGCTTATAAGCAAATTAATCTCACCTCATACCCTTCCCCTGCACTGGACGCTACCCGATATTGTAATTTCAAAGAGGCTCAGAAAGTTCAGGTGCCAGAATCAAAACTTCTGCAACAATACTGTAAAAAATTCCTTTTGTTCAAGTTCCTTATCTACACCCCGTCTCCAAAATATAAAAGTATAAATTCAAAGATCGGAAGAAGAATTTTCCACCAAACCTTTGAACAACCCAGTTGTGTTTATCCTCCCTGGTTGAGACTTTTCAGTGCCAGCAGAAGGCCCATATGCACACTTGCCTACCGATAACTAAAGGCTCCTTTCAGCACATCAACAGACAAGACTGTGAAGCCATGTTGCTAACAGTTTACCCTTTATAAGTAGGACAATAGTTACAGTAAGCCACACCTCTCCCAGGCAGGTGCACGTCGCAAACAGGCCCTAAAATAATTACTCCAAATTTTAAAGAAAGCAATTTCCAAAAATTCTCCCTTGCCCCAATCTTATAAGCCAGTGACTTCCCCCACCCCTGCCAATTCCCCACTTGGAGAGGCTCAGTATGCCCATTCAACAGCCTTTAGCTCTTTCCCCATGTTAAAATTTTTTTAACTTCCAAGTTATAACGCATCAAGGATGTTGTCAATTTTGGTGATCAGCTCCTGCCGCTTGTTGGAATGCAGCTTCTCATTCTCTATGTATGTATCCTTCTTAAGCTTGCCGACTACCAGCCGCTCAGCCTCCACAGAAGATTTTAGAACCAGCTCCTTGACTTGGCCGTCAAGTTTCTGAATTTCACTGACCTTGAAGAAATTTTACAACAAAACAGTGTCAGAGAACGGGATGAAACTCAAAGCAATGCTATTAAGTTTTAGAACACAGAAGCAGTAAGCTTTCCAATGCACACTAGAGGCCATTCCTTAAAACTAACAAGCTTCTTCAAGTAGCAGATGTGCTGGAATGAAAGCAAACAATTACACTTGTCAGGGATACTGCAGGCTGATCCTGCATTGAGCAGGGGGGGTTGGACTAGATGGCCTGTATGGCCCCTCCCAACTCTGTGATTCTAGGATTCTACCTGTCAAACTGTACTATACCCACAAACAGGATGAAATAATGTTACAGGCTCCCCACAGTCATTACAGTACTAGCTGACATCACTAAACATGGATTCCCAACAGAGCTATGAAACTCCAGCAACAGTCATAGTTGTCAGAGTCTTTACAACTTCCAGAGTACAGCCAGTACTGGCTTACTGTTACCTGTTTAAAATTCTTTTTGGCTTTTAACTCTTCCTCTGCTAACAGCAGCTGAGTGAACAGAATTTATTAAGAGTTGTCCAACAGCAAGTTACGCCTGAACATGCAGGTAAAAGTGGTCAATGCAGAGTGACTAGGACATTTCCTCTTCCTATAGATTGGGACAGAGAGCTGCATTCATCACCAGCTCTAATCTAAATCCTTTACAGCTGGCAATACATTTATTTAAGGACACTGAGCATTTGGGAGCTTTTCTCCTGCTTCCCAAGAGTTACAGACCAATACCTGGATCTCAGGGTTCTCTCAACCATTAGGAAGGACAGAGGCCTCCAAGCAATGCTTTTTTTAAAAAAATAATACTGAACATAAGAAGTAGAGCGCTCGACACAACAAAATACACTCAAGTTAACTGTGTACCCTGAATGTGTCCAGCAGGAGTGACATAAGAACACAAGCTCCCAAGACTAAGAAGATCAGCAGCTGAGACAGGCAACAGTTTCTTACTTTGTCACACAAGTCGGAGCCTTCTGCCTTCAGTTTTGACTGCAACGAAGCTATTTCACTGGTTAAGGCCTTGTGTTCAGTCTCCAGAGATTTTTTGCCACTGTTCAGGGTGGATATATCCCGTGACTGCTTGTACTTATTCACAGATTCGTCAAAATGGCGGTACAGGCCAAGTCTCTTGTTCACTAAGGTAAGAACTTGCTCTGTAATGCAAGCCACCTTCATCCTAGCTTCTGCTGCTGGATCCTGAAGGACAGCAAAGGTTTACCATGAGTGCAAACTTGGCGTTATTAATATTCAGAATTCATGCGGGACATTTCAAGGGATTAAATCACTTTGCGGGCACTTGCTGCAACTCTTACGACAACCTTATAAGGTAGGACAGTAGTATCTCCATTCTGCAGTGAGTGTCTGAAGCTGAGGAAAAAGTGGTTGACATCAGCTCAGTCTCTTACTCACCCCACTGGCTAACTGGCACAGCAGGATCACGACAAATTTACAACTTTTTATCAAATGAGTTACCAGAAGCAACATTAGATGGGCTTGCAATTCAAGATAAACCAGGATATCCACTTCGTCAGTCAGGATGAACTAGGCTGAAGGCACTACTATGAAGACAGCCATCTCAGTCACTAATGATTAAAGACAAAAGGCTGTGGCTGTATCTGGGCAAGCCTCTGCAAAGGCAAGGTCAGACCTGTTCATTTCTTCACTCCAACGATTTGTAAAAGCACTTCAAATAGACTTGCCTTTGGAAAGGAACTATTATTAGCCCTCAGGACATTGCATAAAAAGGTTACGTAATACATCAGTAAATACACAGTTTAAGATGGAGAAGGGGAGAGTGTTGTCAGCCACTTTGAGACCCCATAGGGAAGAAAAGCAGGGTATGAATGGAGTCAACAAATTCAACTGATTAATAGTTAAAGGGAAGCAACGGAACAGAAGACTGGTATGATACACTTAGGGGACTAGTTATTATTAAAAGGTTGGCAGTACTACCTCAAACCAGCAACATCTCGCACTCGGACATGTTTGATGCGAAGACCACAGAAAACAGTGGGTTGGATACTGTCGAGTACTAACAGAACAGAAATGAATCTTAGGCTTAAACTACACTGTTCGGTTGGCTTAAACTACACTGGAGAATGAGCAAAGAGGATCATCATGCTTGCATGTGGAGCCTGATCAAAAACTTTCTAGCTTGAGCCATCTGAATGGAGGCATGCAGGACTTTATCCCTAGGCGTGGACTGCAGCCTGTAGTGCTAGCAGCAGTTTAGAACAATCAAGTTGTCTTAGCACCAGGCTTCTCCATGACAGCAATTAATGCTCTTCTGCTGGTCTCACGGCCATTATATCAATGAAAGGTATCCGGAGGATCCAAATCAATAAGATTCATTCTCCTTTCCCCTGTCCAATCATGCTCTTGCAAGCTCGTATTGTGGTACCTTAGTAATGGAGAAGTCAAGCCTCACATAGAGAATCACAGTAAAGAACAGGATGTAGAAGGCTCCAACTACCAGCAGAGGCTCCTGCAGCATCAAGACCTTGTTAAAGTTGTAGTGCACCTACAAAACATCAGACAAAAAAAGGGAGTCAGAGGGCATCTGATTACTCTGGCCCTTTTATCCAGTACAGGATCCTCAAACAAAAACAAGCTGCAGTGTCAAAATATAAGCAATAGTAAGGATATCAACCATCTCAAGTTGCAACAAATTAAAAGCTCTTTAGCTTGCAAAGTTCAAGACTGTAAAACTCAACAAATGAAAATAGGCTTAAGGCTGTGGTCAAAAGAGCCATACCATTAAAGGGAAGGGAAGGACAAACAAAAGGAATATGCTTACCACGATATCCTGAATGTGCTGCTCTACTAGGTTGCTCTTGTGCGCTACAATGACTGGCCGGCCAAATGTGTCCAAGTAGGTATAATGAAGCTCATCAGGAGCCCGGCTGATTTCATATGGACTGTCCACATGGATATTCCTGCAGGCAGAGTTAGGTACATGAATCCTAGAGGAAACAAACCCTAAACATATATTCATACACGCACAATGGAGGGGGGGAGATAATATCACATAAGAAAGCATATTGCAACACAAGGATGTTGCATGCTTATACCAAATAATTACAGCTTTATGACTGACATTCACTCAAAGAGTCTTAAGTCCTCAACAGACAAATACGACATGAATCACCATACTGATACTTACTTGGCACCTTCTGGAAGAATTATTTTCACCGTCAGTGAATCTGTAACTTGCTCATCAAATACATGGTCAACAAATCTCATCTTCAGAGCATACTGATCACCTTGAAAACAAGGACAGCAGGTGTCCATCATTTTTTTCTATATCTAAGTATGCCAGCAACAGAAGCCATATTGGGTAAAAGAATAGGATTCTAGAGACACAGTCACAAAAGACATTAAGCACCCCAGGAAATGGTTGTAATACAGGCAGATTGCAACAGAGAAGAGGAAGCTGTTCTGCTGCTTTCCCTCTCTGCACGGGGATCCCCCAGGAGTTTGTCTTGAGTCCTCTTGCATCCTCTCTATTCACATCTCATCAAACCCCCTGGCGTTCAGGACCACCTATACGGCTAATGAAACCCAGCTCTACCCCTCTCCAAAGTCTTTGGTTCATGTGGAGGAGGGGCATTATGACCCAGTGTTCAAACATCTGTCCCACACAAAGATCCAGCTTCAATCTCCAATTTAAAAGATCAGGTAGCAGGTGATGTGAAAACCCAAAACCCTGGAGAACTGCTGCCAATCAAAGTAGACAGTGCTGATACTGACGGGCCAGTGGTCTGATTTGGTATAAAGCAGCAGCAGCAGCAGATGTTCTGCTCCGGGCTTTCTTCTTCCATCTAAACCTACATGTCTTAATTGCCTGTCTGACATTTCCGCTTGGAAATCTCACCACCATCTCAAATTCAGCATATCCAAGACTGTACTTCCAATCCTTCCCCTGCAACAGTCTTCCTGTTCTCGTGCACACGCCACGTGACGGACATAATCACACACCTCACAGAAGAGACACGAAGTCTTAACACTGTTCGGGGGCTTGTTTCTGGTTTTGCTCCTCATATTCAGTCTGTAAGCCAGGCTGCGTGACTTTTCCTTTCACAACCTTAAAACAATGACTCTCCTTCCACACACATGCCACCCCAGGAAAAACTCTGGTTCTCTCTGACCTTGATCACTGCCACCTTGTCCTCTTTGGTCCTCCACGGATGCACCTTGATCCTCGCACCTCTATGCCACACTTTATTGAAGAAAACATCTGCTTCTCTAGCCATTCAGACTACATGATGCCTCTCCTTGTTTTTAACTTTAATGACATCCATGGCCTTGCCTTCTCTTGCCTCTCCTCTCCCATCTTCAAATACATTCAAATACCTTCAGCTCCCCCACTTTCAGCTGTCCGACAGTTTCCAGCTCCCCCACACTTGTTTGCCCTCTCTTCCTTTCTGCCTCCCAGAACGTGTGTGACGTCATCTTTTTTGTTGTTGTTCAGTCACACAGTCGAGTCCGACTCTTCGCGACCCCATGGACCAGCTCCCGCCAGGCCCTCCTGTCTTCTGCTGTCCTCTGAAGTTTGCTCAATTTCATGTTCGTTGCATCTATGACACTGTCTAACCATCTCATCCTTTGCCGTCCCCGTCTTCTTTGACCTTCAATCTTTCCCAGCATCAGGGTCTTCTCCAGTGACTGCTCCCTTCTCATTTGGTGTCATCTCTTTTACTTCCTCTAAAACCCTCTTCAAACCTTACTTTTCCAATAAGAATTTGATTCAACCCACTTTTCCTGCTCAAATTAAGCCTAAGCGGAACAACTGTGCATTTCCTCCTGTTTATTCCCATCTGTCAAATTTTAGTGTCAGCTTCTCATAGCAGGGACCAATCTTCTTATACTCTGCAAAAATGTCATGCAGACTGATGGCACATTCAGAACAAAACTTTAAAAATTCTGCTCCCAAGCAGAAATAGCTTTGGTTTTGGATGAACCACGTATATATAATTTAGGCGTTTCTGAAAGGGACAATATGGTGCCAGAAGAGAACAAGAAACTGGAAGTGAGTAACAGAGCTAGAAGAAGCATACTTGTTTGAATGCTTTGAAGAAGGGCATGATAACTACGCAAAGTACAGACGCTTTTCAGGTCCAGTCTGCATGGTTTCGATAACCCTTACAATCATGAGGCTTAGGATGTACAACTGTATAGTACTATAGAAAGTAATAATGAACAAGGAAAACAGATTCTTCAGCATCTCAAATGTGACATTCAGCTCAGAGGTGCACCCACTGAACCAGACTGATCCCATTACCTTTAGAGACATACTATGTTCCTATTAGCTTGGGATGTCACTACCTTACCAAGGAAAACCTACCAAGATTAAAGAGGTATTCATAGCTTGGCAGGTTATAACCAATTATGTAGTGAGTCTTCCAACCACCGAACAGGGGGAAACGAGGACGAATCTCCATCTCCACTGAGTCATCCAGGACAAGAAGATGACTGGTAGATATGTTGCCAATTTCATCTCTGTAATATACATCCTGAGCAGCAGCTGGAAGAATAGTCTACAAAAGCAACATAAATAAGCATTCCATACGTTTTCACAAAGACAGGGCAACAGCACACTGATCCCCTCCCCAAATCAGCATTTGTGAGATCACAGTGTAAAAAGTTATATCTATCCACATAGGGCAGCAAACCAAAGGATTAAGTTTATATTGTATCCTACGTCAATTTGGAAAGGACTGTGGTCACCTGGTCCAGCCCCCTGCCCTAAAGTAACCCCCCCCAAAACGCATACATGAAAATGTCTTCAAAGCCTTCTGAAACCTTTAGACTAATCACAAAATGGCTAACAGACACCACCGTGATTCTTAGGTGTATATTTATCAGGCCTCACTAACTTGATGTCATACCATCACAAATATTCTCCAACATGCCTTAGTTAATCTGATCTATGGCTTCTCTCCCTCCTTGTTTGTTGATTCCAAACAAACTTTAACTCAATGTGATGTATTATTGTTGCTTATAAGTTACTATCAATGTGCACAACACTTTAGTGAGAACGTGTCCCTGTCTCAGAGCTGACAAGCTAAAATCTGAAATAAATTTGAACCAGTCACAAAATTCAGGTCTAACCTACCTCACAGGGTTATTGTGAGGATAAAATGAAGTCAAGGAGAAAGCTGTAAGCTGCTTTGGGTCCCCATTGAGAAGAAATATAGGGTATAATTGAAGTAAGATAAATCTAAATAAATAAATAACAGGAGTCAACAAGAGGGGAGGAGAGGGAGGATAAGCTATGCCTTCAATTCCAGTTGTGTGTGCTTAGGTTCAGTTGAGTAGGAAAGCTGCTTAAGGAATTGTGCCAAAGACTTCATGTGTGGATTTCTGAGGATGAATCTGCAGGGGTCTCCCAGAGCCCCTTTATCATATTAATTCCAGTCAATTTACTTGTAAGTAAGTGTGCTTAGGATCAGGCTTTAAGTACCGCTGCCAATTTTACTAAGAAAATGTCACACCTGTGTTATTTGACCTGGCTTGGGTGCTAGCTATTGGGAAGCAGGGTTTTTTCCCTGCTTCCTCACAAACATCATGGTTCTTCTGTGCACCACCAGAGTTGTCCTCGTCTTTTGTGCTCTCTTTCCAAAAACTGCTTTGCTATAATGTTTTGAGAAAATCACAGCAAAGCCGGGGTGGCTGTTGTGTGTGGAATGGCGCCGGGAGGAAGCGAGCCTGATCAAAGCTACCAGATAACTGGTTAAAGAACCCCTCGGAAAAAGACCCCCACCACAATTAAGCTGCATCAGTAGCCTCCATGACACAGGGGCTTCCACAGCAAAATCATCACCATGTGGAAAAGGTCAGATTGGGGATCAAAGGGCTCAGGGTTTTGATCACACTCTTCAAAAAGAAGACAAGGAGAGAGAACCAGGCTTCCTGCATGGTAACCCGCCCAGCCCACCTGTCACTTGGCTCCTCCCTCTCACATTCTGCAAGAGGAAAGGAAGAGAGAGAACAAGGAACAACAGCAGTACGGTGACATTTCTAACAACACATGGAGAAATATGAAATAAATGGAACAACAAACCTTAAAAGATTTCACAGAAGATATTCCACTGTCTGGCTGCCTTTGGTAGTCATATCTGGAGAAAGGCCCTTTGAGCACAGCTCCTGTATGCTTCAAGTCAATAGTCTCTTCAACAGCAATATTACCCCAGTGTGAAACTTCAATAACGCGAGTCATGCTTGTGATAGTCAGGAACGGGCTGTTGTTTTCATAGTGGACCTTAAGGGTGTCCTAAGCAGAGAAAAATATAGTGAAGAAACTAAACACGTTTAAAAATTCTTCCCTTACTTATCAAACAAACCATTTACAGTACAGTTTATTAGCCACTGACACACCTCACTTTTGAAAGGCTACTCTAAAGTTTAATCAGCTACGAATCAGCTGTAACTCTGTTTAGAAGGTCCAGAAAGGTAAATTCAGTCACAATTTCTTAAAGGACAGGATACACAGAGGAGTTCTCTATCATGACCACAAGATGTCACTTTCTCACACCCTTATCATCTTGAGTGTTGTGAATGCAATGCTCTGTATCCTTTGCAGCAGTCCTCTGGTTTTATGTAAAACAACCCCTTTTGCTTCCCAAGTACAGAGCACGGGCTGCTTGCTTCTCCTGTTCCAGCTCAACAGAGCACAGCCCATGGCTTAACCTAAAATTTACACAGACCTCTATGTGGGGTGCTTCATCCTTCAGAATTTAAAACAATTCAAATTAGGAGTAGTTTTTTCCTTTAATGAAGCCCACAGACCCTCCAATTTAAAGATGCTAAGGTAGGGCATTTCTGAGGAATATTTCCCTATGGTAAGTCATGCACTGTGTGAATGATCAGCAGGACACAAAGCGATTCCTCAGCTTCCTGGGAGGCTGTGTTTCTTTAAAAGTTGTGGATTCGGAAGAAAAGAAAATCAAAAGAGCAAGCATCATTGCGCAAGGATCCAGACTACAGACTGGAATATAAATCCCACTCTCTTATGATGACTCTGTACACACACACAATGATTTTGGCAACAACCAGTATGTGTATTCAGCTGCAACCAGAGATACCAACTGCTGTTCAGCAGTCTCACCATGTCTTAAACTGTCTTAAACTGACAAGCAATCAGGCCTTTGCTACATGGGCTCTCAGAGTGAAGCTTGCTCCTTCCAGTTATTTGTTATATTTAAAAACCGGCTTAAGAAATTTTCTGCATCCCAGGTATTTCATTTCCCCATCTTCTTTAAACTTTTTAAATTGTGTTTCGACGACACTGTATTATGTAGGAACATTCATATTTTATTATATTTTCTGAAGTGGCCAGGTCAATAGTTTCCAAGAGGACTCTATATAAATAAAGATATCGCAAAGCTTTATCTCAAACATGATTTTCCTCTTACAATTATCAGGGAAATCAGATAGCAGAGGTACAATTGCTTCTAGAGGACTCCTTGAAACTACAGCTGACCATACCTGTCTAGTTCACAGCCTCCAACAGTGCTGAGCTAAAATGCCTATTGTAAAGCCATAAGCAGGGCAAATTGTAACAGCCCTCCTCAGTTTGCCCCCAGCATCAAGAAATCAGAAGTATGCCGCTTCTGAACACTGACATTCCAGTTAAAAAGAACTTCCACATTCAGCGGAAATACAACAACAATGTTAGTTCTGAGAAACAGCATGGGACAATGAAGAGCAAAGTTACAACAGGTTAAGAGCCAGCTGCGTTCTATTATGGGAGTGCAGTTCTTCCTATGTTGCCTAACCCACCCTGAAGGTAAGGACAGTTATCCCAAAATAATTGTTCCACACGCACAAGCCACTGAAGGAGGGCACAGCATGACCGGACTAGGGATCATGTACAATGCAAATCTTTCTAGCTGAATTCAAATGACACTAAAACAAAAAAAGCTACGCCCACCAGATTGGCTCCTTTGGGCCGATATCATACAGAAAGTGGACCAGTCTAGAAACTGGCAAGCAAAACACAATTTCCTGCTCCTTCAGCTTCTCATGAAAGATACAACAGAGCACTGTGCAACACACCTGGCAAAATCTGACAATGACCGCAGTGTTGAACAAGAAACACTGTTGTGCAAAGGCTGGGTTGTGTTTTGGGTCTGAGAATGCTATCTATGGAGGAAAGAGTAAGTAGCTCTTACAGCTTTTATTTAGATTCTGAGGCATCAGATAGACACATGAAACAAATTTTTAATGTAGCCATGACAGCTAAACATTTTTCAAAACTGCAAGTGTGTTTCTGCAGGTTCTGTACTTGCAGATGGACCTCTCTCAGAGGCCCTTTGAAAACAGAACCTAAATTCTTCCAGAACTGAAACATTGCTACTTCATGGCCGAGTTCGGACTGGCAATTTGAAGCGCTAGGGAGTTGTGGCCAAGAAGACCCGGAACAGACTGGGAACGGCTTGTTTGCGGCATTTGCAAGGGAGCGTTCGCACTGTCGGCCCGCCCTTGGTGGGCTGTTAGCGGCTGTTTCTGCACTCTGCTGCATGCGCCTATGTGCATGGGTGCCTGCCGCGGAAACAGCCACTGCCTATTATCAATAACTGCGGGTAGTTCCCGCCTTAGCAGTGCTTGCGTTCACACATCAGGGAACTGGAATCAACCCGCTCTACACACGGTTTGCTACCACTTCCACCTGGTACTTTTTAAAATCAGGAGGGAAGCGGCACAAGACGGCTTGAGTACAGCTGGGGGACGCCTAACAGATGTGCCTGTGTGAACCCGCCCCTTTAATCCACTACTGAAATGCTCCTGAAACGTTTGGCTGCCGGGCCAAACTGCCAGTCTGAACTCGGCCCATGTACTGGCAAATTGGAGAGAGAACAAAGGCAGCACCCGAATCACCCCATTCCTCACTAGCTTTTTCTTGCTGTTCTGTGGTCTACCTATAAATCCTCTCACAACAGCATCATATAACCTGTGTTTTGTGAAGCACTTAGCATGTAGCTGGTACTACAAAAGTAATAAATAGTGATCACAGTCACAGAGTGACCTTATTCCAGACGTGCCTTTTTAATAAC